AGAACATGGCGTGCMGCTCTGCAAACGGCAGAAGAAGCAATAGGAAAATCAAAATGCGACAATAATGGCGTCAAAGAGGAAAAAAGAAAACAAGACTTAATTTTTCCAAAGTTGGCTACATTTTACTTCAAATCAATCAAAGAAAGTAAAATGTAGCCTCAGTCATTCCACGGCAGGACAGCAGCAGCAAAAACATGATCATATCATGAGGCGCTAACACGCTACAGCCGTCCTCTGAAGAAGCCAGGTTTCATATAGTTAGTTTATTCATCAGGTTGATGCATCATAAATCTTATTTTTCAGTGACTGATCACTTTGTGCAACTGTCTACATTTTGTTCGTTTACCATCAGAAAACAATATTTGTTGGAAGTAGAGCTATCAGTTATGTTAACAATTAATCACTGAAATATACTAATACGCTGTCCTGTCTTGTCTAATCCCATTTTATTTATAGCGTTGAAGCCTTATAACTTTTTCTTAGTTTTATGCACTTGAATGTCACTTTAAACAAAGATAYGCTTTACTTTATTTTGGACTTTCAAAGCTACATCTGCACCCTGCAGGGTGGGTTAACAACCCCCCATGCTGAGAACAGGGTGATATTTGTAGGTTTTTCATTAGCGGTTTCTTTAAAAAGACTACTTGCAGTTTAATATATGTTATGTAATTTTATGTTGAATATAATTACATGTATTAATGTTAAAAYACATTTCAGTAAGCTATTAAGTTAGAGGTTCAAATTAATGTTTCATAGGTCATTATTTGAATTTTCTACAGTTATATATTTCTATACAGTTCTTTGCATCTTTTAGCTCCCTCACAAAGATACGTTTAAGAGTGATCAAAGCTTTCTAATATATTGATGGAAAGGAGTTTTAAAAAATATTTTGTTAATCTCTGTATCCCACTGCTCTGACCTTTCCTGTGTTCACACACACACACCCTGCTGACACACTATCTTTTTTTCCCCCTAGCCACATCGATTACTGTCAACCAATACCTGAACACGCTTCTGTCTGCATCATCAGGTTTCAGGAAGTGATGATAAATGAATAGCTCTACGTGCCAAGRCTGCTGGCTGTGAGTAAAGAATTCCACAATCAAGATGTTTTTGGACTTGTCTCAYTTTGTTCTGAGAAATCTTTGCAAATACATACTGAATGTAGTAAAAATCTTCAATTTGCCACAGTTTCAACAACCGAAACCAGATAAACCATTTGAAAAAGTTTAAAAAATGTTTTAAAAACTTGGAAATCTCACATAAACCATTTAAAATCAAAAATAGCTAAATCCATTGCAGTATTATACAAAGTAAGGGACTTATTTAATGATAAAACACTGTTTATATTATACTGTATAATGCAATAATTGTTCCACACTTGATTTACTGTGTTGAAGTCTGGGGTAAAGCCTGCAAAACAATCATAAATTCTATTTTTATTTTACAGAAAAGAGCTGTCAGAATTATCACCATAACTGTCATCCATCGAATATATTCTTTTCTAAATTGAAATTATTAAAATTTTATGAATTGGTTGATTATACTATCT